TTCCGAGTAACAATCATTCACCTTTGATCATCCGCGACGCGTTACGAGTGAGATCGAAACAGATATTGCGCGCGATCTCATCGAATCGCTTTACATATAATACAGCACATGAGAATTCCAAGATTACCGACTTTCAGTGAGCTACAAATAATTAAAAATAAAGATAGTGGTAGCTTATAACGATTTTTGGTCTATAACTAATATTTTAAAGATTTTTACATATTTTGATTGTACATAACTTACCTAGATCTACAAACGGGATATTTCAAATTTTTATTGAAGACACGAACACGAAAGCTAATATCGTGACATTTACTTCTTTATTCGCGACTTTAATAAATAACAATTTTGACCAATTGTATTTTACACATTACGCAGTAAACTAAGTCCTATACCATGTTCGGCTGCGTACGATTCTGTTGATCTCCAAATTCATCAATAAGAGACTAATTGTAAAAACGAATGAGATAGTCATAAAGAGACAATCTGCCTCTCGTACGAAGCATTCATTATTCTAGCGATTTTAATTAGATCTAAATGTCTTTCTCGTCCGATTCGTGGTATCGTTACGAATCGAGATGACATCTTTTAACTTTCATTGATGAGTAATCCGCGGATGCATCTCATCCTGAATGTCGGATAGAAACATGGATAAATACATTATTTTACCTTAAATCCATCTCGATGTTGGTCTCATGACATTCAAATACTTCTGGCTTGGCTGAATTGAATCAAGACTACTAAGTAAGATACCATAACACTCACATACTGCAAAAAGTATGCTAATTAGCTTTTAACAAATTTCATAAAAGAATATAAAGCTAAAAGAGATAAAATTATGCTAACACGACGAATGAACTTATAATTCAACCACAAGGAATTTTCTCTGCTTCTTTGCTGCTGAGTATACGATATTTGCAAACAGAACTGGAGCATCTGCGAATAGATCGATTTAAGAGTTTCATTACATTCGTAATTGTCAGTTGTAACTATTATCGAATTAATACAAAGTATTCACCTCGTCTCTTCTTGTTAAATCGGTGGCTGTTTGATACGATGAAGCAGTATGAATAATTCCAGTCGCTTCCTTAGCCTGAAACACATGTAAGTTAAGCTCCGAATTAGCTGACGATAGCGTATAATTGACGATTTCTAGGAAAATGGAATTAAAAATATTTCACCTGTTTTATCGTATATTCGCAAGAATAGCTCGTAAAGACAACTTTGAGAAGATTGCAAATGATATCCATTAGAAACACAACAATGTATTCTATATGAGCAACGAATTGAGACGGTCTATGTATCTCCATGTAAATGTAATAAAGACTTATAGTTTGGTTTACAAGTATCATAAATATGTAAGATGATAATTGGGCATCATATGTCTTGTTCATCATCTTTAACACGCCGCATAACTGTAAATGCAATATTCTGTTGGATACATTAAAATATTCGCGTTTCCTTTATAAGAAAGTTCCGTTTAGCTAGACTAATTTACATGTAATCACCTGAGTCGATGCAACAGGTACACTTTATTGGTGGATTGTTGTTTTAAATATGGGGCATTATTTGCAGGAAACGTTCGTGAAGCGCGAAAATAACGCTCGGATAACCATTCGTCTAGTTGACTTCTTTTCCGAAAATTATGCTTCGATTCGACCAGAATATTTTTGTTAGGTTCCATTTTCGTTCGACGATTCTCCAAAAGTAAATCTTCAAGAAGTTCATTCATTTGTTTGAATCTCAGTCCTAACCATCTACAACTCGTAAAATGGTTAATGTTTACTTTAATGAAGTATGAAATAGGAATCTTTTTATTGTTTACGTACTCTAGACTTGTTTTGAACTCGTAAAGAGCATATGATGTAATGTTTGCTGTAAGTGCATACAGTTCCATTTGGATGCTTTCATTTTCATGCATTGAAAATAATTTTATTGCATATCCTGTTATTAGCATGAAATTAAAGTTCCAGAAAAAGGCTGTGATCGATGTACGAAAAAAGAAACTGCGATATTCGATCTTGACTGCTAGTTTCCTTAATTCTTCATCCACTTTGTTCATCTGTTTCCATAACATCAGCACGTTCTGAACATAATAAGAACACACATACATCCAGAATTATAACAGCAATATGAATAATAATTTGTTTGTGCTCATTTACTCACTTTCGAATTGTATAAGCCGAGAGCCATCGTGGTAAGAAATCCACAAACGTACAAGATCAACGACACAAGATAGAAAAATCGTTCGATTTTGGGTTCATATTGCTTTAAAGACTGAGCCCCCAAATAATAATAGAGGATTATCATAGTGCTAACTGTAATGATGTACTTAATATTAAAAGTGGATATAAATAGGAATTTGATTTTATTTTTTCTAAAATCGGTGAAGTTCCGCATCGAGGAGAGACGATTTAAGACAGTTACTACAAGTATCGCATCTGAGTAGGTTTTCATTCTCATTTTCCTACACAAATAGAAATTTAATTAGTGTAGAAAATAGCCAATGGACAGTTACGTAGTATATTAACTGCTTTTTTCACATGCAGATTAACTATTACATATAAATAGATGCAGCATTGTAGATGATTAATTTCATTGAAATTCGAAATGAAGGTTCGTTGAAAGAATCGCGGGATAGTTGCTTTTCTTCTTCTTGTTCAACTAAGAGTGAAACGACGCAGGAATTTTATGCACATTTATGTAATTCCATTAAAGAGGTTCATAAATAAAGTACATGTACGGAATGATGAAAAGAATGATAATTCATTTTTTTAGATGAAAGTAGCTGTCAAGGGATGACAGACGTGAATGAATAAGACGTTTCTGTTGATCGCGATCACTCTAGTAAAAGATTGCGTTCTTCATTACAATATATGAAAGAGAAACATTATATTAAATAACACTACCTCTCAGTGTACTTAATGTTAGTGCGAATGTTAATTTAAAATTTAGTACATCAGTTATATATACTTACAATTAAATAAAAATGCTGATTTTGCAAGATAGTTGAACGTTAAATTTTTATTTAGTAGTACTCACTTTAGATGGATTTTGAAGTTGAATCCAATCGAATTTAACATGGACAATTGGCAAGTATCTTTCAACACAATTAGAACGCACAGAAGAAAAATATTGGGCATTCTACTGTAAAAGTTCAAGGTATATAAACTTGTGCAATTAATGAACTAGATGTCTGACGTTCCATTTTCTAATTATTGGCGGGCAAAGTAAGGCATGAATTATGAACTACCATAAATTACGCGATACTACTATAATTTTCGCATTTTAAGTATATGCTATTGCACGGAATCAATTGTGATCTATTGTAGAAATAAATTGAGCTAATAACATATTCTAAGTACAGTGACTCACGAAAGTATTTGAACACCTACCGTGAAATACTTTATTAAGTA